TGTTTGGCAGTCCAAACCATGGGGAAGACGAAGCACATATGAGGTGAACAAAGCAGCTCTCTCATATTCATGTTTTGCAACATATTTCTTACAAACCATGTTTGCAAGAAACCGTCTTGTTCGCGCTTCTCCTTTCTTCTTTTCAGAAGAAAGAAAAATGCAGCTGCAATTCATAAAGCAGAAGGGATTCAACCGGAAAGCTTGTTTTATACCAAAAGCGTATGGCAAAATCTGTCTTTGCCATTTATAGAAAAGTATGGAGTGCTAAAAACTTATACTACAGAGTACTTTTTGTGAACTCAAATGCATTAATTTAGTTTTCTCTATTTATTACGATTATTCCACATTTCAGGTGCTCTAAGATTAAAATATGAGTATTACCCATCATTCCCGGCCTCCTGAAAAACTATTTTAAAAAAATGTTGAACTCCAAGTCGGCACTTCATTTTACTTATTCTTTTCTTTGGTGATGTTATCTGTTTTGTACAATGTAATAAGCTTCAATGAAGGTTAGGGTATTGTGGGTATAAAATATTTGTTGGTGATATTCTAAACTTATTATTTTACTTATTATTCTTTTCTTTAGTGATGTTATATAAGTTTATCTATTGTATGTGAAGCACATGTTTTTTTTATGTAGGTCTGTATTAATCTCCCCCCCCCCCCCCCCCCCGAAAATATGGGTTTCTTACATAATGCTCTTTGTCCCGTATTCCCTCTAGGGCTGAGCAGATTGCAAGCAATCTTGTGCAAGCATTGTACGATTTCAAAGGTATGTCATTTTAACTTCAAATTTTACTGCCTTTACTTGCAATTATTTTTATTACATAGCATGAGAATTTGAATACATGCTAGATGATTGGAATACATTATATTTGAATTCCTATATATATTAGTCATAGAGACCACTTGGGTTGATTGTTATTTGTACCCTGTAATAAGCTCAGAAATTGTGTGTAATTGGCAGAGCCCCTATGTTTAATTTAACAAACTTATATTGTATTCTCTCACACCAGACCAATATGAATGACGGAGGCACTACACAACACACTTTAGATTTTGAATGGATTTGAAACAAAAAATAATGAAGTGGATTTTAAATGGAACCTAAGATTTCTGTTGAATTTAATGCCTGTATACAAATTATATGTATAGCTGACATGAAGGTAATATTACTGGTTACTGTGAAATTCATTGGCTTTATTTATATTCCACTTTTCTTGTCTTTCTAAATTACAGGTATACTAAAAGCGTTTCACATATAAAAAATTCCTTTTCATATTTTTCTTCCTTGTGTTTCATTGTCATTTCTTTTTCTCTTAATCAGTTATGGGATGATTGATCATTGGATCAACTGGACTGGCAGAAGCTCTAACCCCAGGCTGAATTTGCACAATAGGGTCTTCATATATGTACTTTGGTCGAGCCAATGGGTTTGCTACACTACCCTCACTTGAAAATTAATCAGGGAAAGGCAAATCAGTAGGTCTATGTTGCGATTGGGGAGGAAGCTGCTGCAGTGGTGGTGACTGTGGTGGCTTTGGGTAGCCAATTACAATGAGACCATGCTCAGATCTCTCATCATCAGACCATGCTATTGTTGCTTTTTTTACGGAGTAATTTTCTAAGCCTTAATAAGAGACAAGGTTTTTGTTATTTTTAGTCTCCCGCCTTTTTTTAACAAGCTAAGTTACTACCATTGGCTGAATAAAAAGACTTTTTTCATAGATTTAACACGATTAAGTTGTTGGGAACCCTGCTTTTTAAAATGGGAAAACTATCAAATAAGCCCCCGTACTATGCCATAAAAGTCGATTAGGCCCTCGTACTTTACAAACACTCGATTAAGTCCTTGAACTATTAAAAAACGTTCAATTAAGCCCTTTCGGTGGGTAAGTAACCGGTTTCCCGGTTAAACGGCAATGACGGCGACGACGGCGACGATGTGCTCGAACCCCAGCAATGGCGGCTGCCGGGAAAAGGTTACATTTAACCGGGAAACCGGTTACTTACCGACCGAAAGGGCTTAATTGTACGTTTTTTAATAGTTCGAGGACTTAACTGAGTGTTTGTAAAGTACGAGGGCCTAATCGACTTTTATGGCATAGTACGGGGGCTTATTTGATAGTTTTCCCTTTTAAAATAGATTACATCGTGTCCAATGAAGAAGACTCTTGTGTTTGGGATGTTTGTTACCACGAATTAGTTTATATTACTTTCTTTAGACTCATTGTTCTCTTTTAGGTTTCAGTTGTTTGTGTTTTCAGGCTTTAGCATTTAGAATAATTTTATAGTTTTTATATCGCCAATATTCTAACCAACTTAAGAGAGCCCTTTCTGTTTCCAGTTACATGACCCAACAGCTACTCCTCTGGTTGGATATCGTTACGTTTATAATGGCACATCCTACCGTAGATATATGCATTTGCCTCACTTATCAATTACTTATTAATACAGGCTATTTCATATTTTCATATTATGAATAGGTCAAATTCACATACATCTGTATATTTAGAAAGAACACTTCATGTTTCTAGAAAAGCAAGAATGCTTACGAAGTAGAACAATAGTTTATTGCATTCTTAGATGTCTATCTTTATGGAGGATATCTCTGTGAAATTCAAGATATCAATGGATTCTCTTCTCCATGTACTATCTATCTCCTAAGCTCTTGATTTGGTACTGTTATTATCATGTGATACTCTAATTGTGCACTTTAGTGGTGTATCTTGTTTTGTAGACATGAATCATTTGTCACAGTGTGATTTATTTGAATTAATTAATGTTGTACTTGTGTATTTTATAATTTATGGTTCTTGAATGAATCATTCCTTAGTATGAAATGCAAATGCATCCATTCCAAGCATATAATGAAGGGTATAGTAATAGTGATCTTCCAGTTATCTCAAGGGCATGAAATTATCTATTCCCTTGAAGCCCATTCCAACCAAATTGCTTAACAGCCACAGCTTGCATCATGTTCTAATAAATTAGATCACAATCAACACTCATCCAAAGAAAATTATGGAACAGAGAAGGTGGGCAGTGATGTAATGAAGAGAAACGAGCTGACTTGCACCAAGCTTGAAAACGTCAACAGCTCGAATAAGAATGTTTAGTCATCCCATTTTTCTTTCCTTCAAAATCCTCATATATTTTCCACCCAATTTTCTTTATCTAGCTAACTTTTTCCGGATTCCAGGCATTTCCTACAAGACACAGATAGTCGGCACTCGGCAGTGATGAAATCGAGAGAGAGGAGCTGACTTGTGCCATTCTTGAAAATTTAAAGAATTGAATAAAGGAATTTTATCAATTCAAGACCTGAAAGATAGATGAATTATGTACCTGAAAGATGAAATGTATCAGTATAGGACCCGAATGATGAAAAACTATCAATCTAGGACCTAACATTTCATAGATTTTGATTTATTTAATTTTTTATTAATTCTTTTGCTAATATTTGGTGAATCCTTCTTCACAAAAGTTTATTAGTTCAATAAAACTAAATACGGAGTATTATTTAATTTTTGTAAAATAAAAAAAGTAATAAAATGTATGAAAACTTAGATCCTAAATTGATAATTCGAGTCCTACATTGATAGTTTTCCATCATTCGGGTCCTGTACTGATACATTTCATCTTTCAGGCCTCAGATTGATAATTCGTCTATCTTTTAGGTCCTGGATTGATAAAATTTCTTGAATAAAAATGATAACATGTGCATGCATATAATTTTTAAATAATCCCAAACTTTATTTTTTCCAGATTTACCATCTATTTCTACTTTAATTTCTTTTTCTACCATTTTCAAGATTCAAAACGCATCACACAAAAGAAAGGAGTTCACTTAGCTCGCACCATTCTTGAAAACATCCAAGTTAATTAAATTCCTAATGCATGCACATACACATATATAACAAGTTTTTCCTCAATTTTATTTCCTCCATAGTTTTTCTCAACATTTTCCAGATTCCAAAAGGATCCTGCATATGATCAAGAGATTTCTATGCGTTAATTGGTAATGCTCTTCAGCTAATTTTCACCACTTAAGAGCTTTAAGATTTGAATAAAAATGCAAACTCATCTCAACAAGTTATTACTTCTATTTTTCTTTTAAATACCGTCAAGGACTCAAGGTTGTTCTCTCTTTGGATAAATAGCAATTGATTTAGCTACTATGCCCACGAACTATTAATAAGTTTTTTTTATTAGTAGTTCTCTTACAAGAAGTGGTTTTAGATTCAACCACCAAAAATTCTATTCAAATAACTCCAATCCGATATGTTTTTAAAGAAATAATGACAAATTAAGGTATATTATTAGATATTTCATACTATTTTTATGATTTTTCCTCGTAAAATTAGGAAAATAAGGTCTAGCTTTTTTACGGCTATGTATATTCTTTATTTTGCCTTTCAAGCATCATTCCTCTCACGATGAAAGAAAGTTTGAAGTTGTATTCTTTGATTGCTATAAATATTAACCCGCCAAATACTAAGTATAATCATATAAAGAAAAAATGGAATATGTATATCTTTCGATAAAAGGTACATTGGGCACTTGTGCAATCGCGCATCGCGCGTGTAAAAACTAGTATTAATATGGTTACCAATTTTTTAGTAGCTGCTTCAAGAAATAATGGCATGTTCGATTAAAAAATTAGTGATAACGCTTTAAAGATTAAGAGGCGATTGGATAATAGTAAAGTATTCAAGGTGCATGTTTTTACTCCCTCCACATATATCTTCTCACTTCCAAAGTGGGTGAGATTAAGAATAGTGAAAAAGGATATGAATTATTGAGGGTATGATGAGAAGATAGTGAAATAATGTGATGGAATGAAGGATAAATCTAAAAAAAGTAAGTGTAATAGTGTATTATTTTGAAAATTATTGAGGGTATGACGAGAAGATTTAGAAATGAAAAGATATAAATGTTACGTCCATAAAAGGAAAGTGAGAAGATATAATAGTGAGGGAGTAACTTTTTAGATGCCCTAGACCGTTGGGAAAGGTCGGCATGAATGAGGCAGTTGGGCAGCAGAGCGAAGACGGGAAGCAAGCTGGCCATGCCGCTGTCGTCATTTACTTATCTCCCTCCATCGATCAAGCTGGCCATCGCCAAAATATTTATTCTCATCGCTGGCTTACGTTAAAAGTCATTCCTCATAATACGGCGCCGCATAATACTGCTCCATGTTTTGAATCCTACGATTCGATAAATCAAAGGTTAGTTCAGTCCATCCTCTGCGTTTGTGTCTAGATTTATTTATTCCTGAGCTCTGCTCTGTTTTTGAACGTGAGTGTAATTTGTTTTTTGGCGATTCTGTAACTTCGATGATCGACCGGATTAGATTCTTTTCTGGCAAATGGGGAAGGAGCGGGTGATGTATCCGGTTAGTGAAGTCAACTTGGAGACGGTGAAGTACGTGCCGGAAAATATACAAGGTCACAGTTGCTTTAAACGCAATACAACTACGATATCGCTGTTTTATCTCGTGGTTTGAATTGATTCCTATCACCGTTACTACCATTTTTTACTGTATTACTATCATTATAGTAGGTGTTAACATTAATATTTTAGCGATTAAAACAAGAATTACTATTTTTGCATTATCACCTTGCAGCCCCGCATTTGACTGGGCTTGGTTTGCAGTTATTTGTCAAGTTGGCTGAAGCGCCAGCTATAGGGTCATTGATTATGGCTCGCTTGAAGAATCAAAACAGAATAGTAGAGGTCTGATTAGAATTTAACTATCTGTCTGGCTATGCCAAGCGGCTCTGTGTGTTAAGTATGTTCATTTGTGATTGACAGATGTTGAAGAACACCGTCATTCCAGAGGCTCCAATGTTTAAGCCTGAGTTCACACCACAAGGTTAACTGTTCATGAAATTCCTGCAATTCCTTTTCTTTGTGTATATTGTGATAATTCCCTTAGGCAGGATATTCCATTCATCTATACATTTAGGGTCCATTGGAGCCTGGAGAATACCACAAAACAAAACATGGATGAAAAAAGGACGTAAATTGGCAGGAGATAATGTTTGGGGAAATAGACGATTTTTTTAACCTAAATATATTTAACTTATACTCGTATAATTTATTTATTTACCTATTTTATTGAGATAAAGAAGGAAATCCATATTTAGTTTAAAAACTAATTCTATTCTATTTCTCTTTGCATTTCCCAAGGTAAAGACGAACATAGGAAAACAACTTTCCTTAGCATTTGCTTTCATTTCTCTAGCTTTTCCGGGATCCTAACATACCCTTACAGATTTACTTTATGTTTTTTCAGCAACTTCTTTTTAACTAATAGCTACATGCCTACATCTATATATGTTGAGCACTACGTGCCCTTTACAATTCATGGTTGGTTGGGTTTTAAGTTGCATAGTTTTTATCAATTTTTTTCCAGTAATGGGAAATATTTGACCAATGTTTGATTTAGATCATAATATCATGTAAAAAACCAGGTATCATGTATCTATTTTGTGAGTTGTGATTACAAAGGCTATAAACATTGCATTGACCCATTGTTCTGCACCATTTGGTCAAATTTAGAGCCAGAATGTTGTGTATCTTTATTGGAAGAAGACGGATCCCCTCAAGACAGGGTTGGCATTGCCTTTAACTGTCTCCCACATAATGATCCTGCTAGCAATTGGACCTCTGATATGACTGTGTCATTCCGCTACTGGAAGATTCGTGACTATGCTCACGCATATAGATCGAAGCTTACAACTCCATCACTGGCAAGTTACCTACAGTTTATAAACCTTCATGCTTATTTTTACTCCATTTATTTTATCTAGGAATATAGTAGATATTTTGCTACAGGTTGCTGAGTGCTTTATCTCAGCCATGGAGGAGTTTGATAATAAGAACCCAACAGCCCCTCTGCTGATATCCTTTAATCCTGATGAGGTTAGAAAGCAAGCTGCAGCTTCCACTCAAAGATTTGAGGACGGTAATTGAATTTTCAGACACTTTTACTCATGTAGGTTTTAATAATAGTTTTACCATAATTTATAGTTATAAATCCGAAAGGGTGCCGGTGTTATTAGTGGCACTATTTAATATTTGTTAGCAGAAAGTCTTCTGTTTTAGATGGTGTTTTATTCCATTGTGGGTTATGCAGGAAACCCACTGTCAATCTTGGATGGAATATTCGTGGCCATTAAAGATGACATTGATCTCTACCATCATCCTACAAAAGGTAGGTCCTGGAATTGTCAGTTATTGTTCTGATCTCTTTGCCAGGCTCATTTACATATTTGCAACTTGTACAGGTGCTACAACATGGTATCACGAGGTTTATAAAGTAGAAAAAGACGCAATTTCTGTTTCAAGATTACGCTGCTGTGGTGTCATTTTAGTTGGAAAGGCAAATATGCATGAGCTAGGCTTGGGTACAACAGGAAACAATCCTAATTATGGGTGGGTGTAGTTCAAAAACAACAATTAATAGTTAACATGAACTCATGAACATGATTCTACAGATTGATTCCCTAATTTTTAGTTTTACAAAGTCTCCATGAGTATCATATATCGCAATCAGTCCGAGGGAAAAAACTCATCTTTTATTGTGCTAAAGTGAAAATATTGCACTTCATCTGGGATCCGTCTCATAAGAAAGACTCAAGTTTGGTGAAAGTATAAAATTTTAATTTTGGCTAGGCAGAACCTTTCTAAGCCCGAAGCCTGCTTATGATTCTAGATTTTTTTACTTGACTTTATTAATCACATTGATCATATTAATTCTGTTTACTATGTACTACCTCCGTCCCACTATGTTTGGGACAATTCGGTTTACGATGCTTGACTGACGATAAAACAAACAGATCCCTGTCCGCACTCAAATTATTTTTAGAAAAAAATTACATATTCAGAAACTACATTAAAAACTTTACAAAGTCACAAAAACCAGAATCAAATTTGATAAAAATTTGATAAATAAAGTAAGAGATTAAGAGTGATTTGTGTTGACCAAGTGAATAGTGTTTGAGACAATCTTAGCGGGACGGAGGGAGTATCTTTTTGTGATGAATGTGTACTACTTGGATTGTCATGCTTCATGTCACTTGTTTGGGGTGTGGGAGGTTATTTGGACTTGCTCTTTTCCTGAATATGACATGGTTATGTAGATGAATATAGTATGGACGACAGAAATGACTATGTTGCAATACAGGACAACAAGAAACCCCCATGCTCCAAAGCGGTACACTGGTGGGTCATCCTCGGGCCCTGCGGCAATTGTAGCATCTGGATTGTGCTCTGCTGCACTTGGAACAGATGGTGGAGGTTGTTCAATTATAGCACATAAGGACTATTAATCAACTTGTCCAGATTTATGTAATTATAATGGTTATCAAAGCTTGAGTTTTATGAAAAAAGCAGGTTCTATCCGGATTCCTTCTTCCCTATGCGGTGTTGTTGGCTTGAAGACCACATATGGACGTACTGACATGCGAGGGTAAGCTCACACGGTAGAGGAGTTTAGAGTTGAATTCACATCTTTATCGATCATTTTCTTCTCACAGCATTCTTCCACGCATACCCTTTCATATAACAACTGCTCGTCCAATTTTCTTCGCGAAGGTTTTCAAAATTTGGATATGTAAGATGTGTGCTTATGGATACATTTTTTTGTAGGTTGAAGTTGCATTAAAAGATATGCTGGTGTTTGAGAGTATTATTGTTTTATTGTAATATTTAGGATTTTAGGTTGTTGAGTTAGGCCTTGTTTACATTAATTGTATCAAGCCATTAGGACTCTTCTTGTAACATGTGCATATTTATAGACATAAGCATTTCTTGTTAATGCAATAGACAAGAATATTTTCATGAATGGTATCAGACTATCAGTAATGTTCTCTAGTCCTAGCCCCCCATGCCTCTCTCCTCTCTCTGTCGGGAGTGTCGTCCACCACTTCCCTACAGCCTCGCCACCTTGTCCTAACCTCGAAATCATTATCCTTTCCCTCTCTCACAATCCCCAATGTCAGGAATCTCATCCAATCACTCCTAATGTTAAAAAATCTGAATACCTCGCATGGGCAGATTTATCCAAATTTGTCCATGATAGAACACTGGTATAATTTAACTAAGAACAGTAGAAAATCAGGTAGAATTGATCAAGAAACTGATCAAGAAAAGTTTATTGATGAAAGGGAATTTTTACAGAAGGTATACAGTAACCACAGACAATTCGAGATGCCTAATCTCCTATCCAATTTCAACTGAATACTTGCCTACCTCTTATTCCTCCCCTCCCCTTCTATTTATACTACCTGTACAATTACTAATATTTCTATTATTAGCCTAATAGGCCCGATTCCTATCAATACTCCCCCCTAAGCAACCACCTTGTCCTCAAGGTGGGTGATAGGAATCAGCCACGATCTTCCACTTTCACTTCCTTCTTGCACCTTTCCCCTCCCAGTACTTGACTGATTGCTGTACTTGACTGATTGCTGGACTAAGATCTTCCATACTTGAATCTTCCTCCTTAGTCCTTACTTCTTCTAGCAAGTGCCTCAATAGATTTCCTATCTTCCGAGCATCAATACCCTCGGGCGGCTTTGTTCATGCTGAAATTGAGTTTTACCAATCTGCCCAATCACCAGCTGCTCAATCTTCCAATTGCTAACAACTCTTGCCTCATGATATGTCTCAAGCTCTTGGATTTCAGCTGCTCAATCTTCCAATTACTAACAACTCTTGCCTCATGATATGACTCAAGCTCTTGGATTTCAGTATCTGACATGAAGTATTTCCTGGGACTGAATGGTGTAATCCAGAATTGGTAGGTGCAAACAATGACATGAATGGTGTAGAACCTGCTGCTGTTTCGAGTATGGATAAAAATCTGGCACAAGGAAATTCTGCAAGATACTCTTTGCCTTTTGGGCAGTATGACTTTCAACCATCATCATCTTTAGTCAAATAGTTGGGAGAGCCTCTTAGTAGGGCAGTCATAGAAACTGGATTTCCATTATAAGTTGCCCATCTAGGACCAACAACAAGAGGTGCAATGTAGACTACACCTGAAATATCATATTTATTGTCATCTGTAGCCTTGATCCTTTTACCAGCAATAGCCATCTGAAGCCGATAGTCACAAACTACACCCCCATCTGGAACACGTATATAGATTAATGGCATTTCCCTAACATTTCCCTTATCATTCCCGGTCAATCCTACTCCCAAACCTTTTCGGATATATTTCATGGAATTCACACTGTCAATTTTGAAACCCTCAAACTGATTCAACCCTTCCCAACTATTATTTAGTAAACAAGGGTGCATAATTTCCGTTAGAACACCCAATCCAAGTTCCGGAACTCTACCAATCCAAGATTTGAAATCTTTTAGTTTTCGGTCTAGGGCACTAGTATAGCTTCGAACTTCATAGGTAAGGTTATCTGATTTGCGCGCTTCGGACTCTTCTAGATTATCTGGTGAATCAACGCTTTCTGCCGCTTCCCGAATATCATCCTTCATCTCCAATTCTTGAACTGAAGATGTAGATAGCGTCAGCTTCAACTTAGTGTTCCATGTAGACGGTGGAGTTCCAAGCAATGAAAGTTGCACCTGGGGAGAGACGACTAGCGAAGACGAGTTATGAGAGTCCGCGAATGAGGAAGTCTGCGATCTTGGAGAAACGAGAGAAATAGTTCGCGATTGCGAACTGGGAGATGGGGTTCGCGACTGCGAACTGTGATATGAACTTGGAGAAGCAGTTTGCGACCAAACTTGTGCACGTAGATGCTGGACTAGCGACGCCGTCTGCCCACTAGGAGCTACTGTTCGCGGCGAATCTAGCGAACCGGAAAAAGCCTCTCGCGATGACGATCTATGAGGAACAAGTTGCGACGGAGAACGGGAAGGGTGAGGAGCGACTGGTGAAGACATCTTGGGCCCTGTAGTACCCTCACGATCTCCCTCTCGCCTGAAATTGTTCGTTCATCGTAGCTAGCCGTCTGGTGATGTTTTTCGCCATCATTCTCATGTCTGTTAAGTTCTTCTCCATCGATGTATATGTCCTCTCCATCAAATCCACCATCTTCTCCATTATTGGTGTATAGAATTCTTCCATCGCTCCAGGTACTTGATGTTCTCGATCGATTCAAATCCTGTGCCTCCAGGAAGCGAGTGCTCTGATACCAATGATATAACACTGGTATAATTCAACTAAGAACAGTAGAAAATCAGGAAGAATTGATCAAGAAACTGATCAAGAAAAGTTCATTGATATAAGAGAATGTTTAGAGAAGGTATACAGTAACCACAGACAATTCGAGATGCCTAATCTCTTATCCAATTTCAACTGAATACTTACCTACCTCTTATTCCTCCCCTCCCCGATTTCAATCAGCCCATCATGCAGAACAAGTCCTTGCAGGTTTCCCCTCCTACAGCTGACCGCGATAAGACAACTGACCCAGCCAACTACAACAACAAATGTGATGAGGTTTACCTTCAGAATCCGAATCTATGGGATTGCTTTTAGGCCATGGTCTTCCAGTGGATTTATAGCACCATATCCATTGATATTAATAAAATTATCAACCTTAGCTCTAATGCTAAGAAGCATTGGTGTGTTTGGTTGACATTTTCAAGGTTAAAAAGCACTCTTATGTGGTTTATTTGAAAGCCCAGTTCCTAAACATTTGTCTTGATCACTTCCTTAATATCTCCTCATATTGTGGTGCCTTGACAGAAAAGACATATGATAGGGTACCTCGAGAAGTCTTTTGGTGGGCCTTAACTAGAAAATGCATATCACATAACTATATTAGCATCATCATGGATATGTTTGAGACTTGTACTACAAGTGTCTGTACTAGTATTGAACTATATGAAGAATTTCAGAGTTCCCTATTACTATCGGAATGCATCAAGGATCGACTCTGAGTCCTTTCTGATTTGCTATAATCATGGATGAACATACGAGTTAATTCAAGAAGATATACCGTGGTGCATGATGTTTGCCGACACTATTGTACTGATTTATGAGACAGAGTCGGGAATCAAAGCAAAGTGGGAAATATGGAGACAAACATTGGCGGCCAAGGGTTTTAGACGGAGTCAAAGCAAGTCTGATTATATGAAGTGCAGTTTTTGTGGAGGTAGAAGTAGTGGTAGGGGTGAAAACATGCCAGGTCAGGCTTTCGCCTAAACAGGCCAGGCCTATTTTAGAATGTATAGGCCTGAGCCTAGCCTGTTACCTTTCAAAGGCATGTTTTTCGGCCTGAGTCTGGCCTGTTTAAAAGACTGGCCTGGCCTAAATCCTATTTATCGGGCCTTTAAGAAAAAAATTAAAATTTCAAAAAAAAATAAAAAAAAGTAAAAAATCCTTTTGACCTAGTATAAGATTTATCCCCCCAAATAATCTCTAAAAAGTCTAATAATACGTTAGTTTTGCTTTGGATGTCTAATAATACGTTAGTTATGTAGTTTATAAATTTCTATATACTTCAAATCTTGAAAAACTTTTAATTTCAATTGCCCTAATAAACTACTAACACACTTTATATATATACTTCCTCCGTTCTTTTTTAGTTGCAACAATCAACTTTGCACATTTGCCAACACACGTCTTTGACCATCAATATATCTTATTCTCAAATAGTAAAAAATTTAAAAAAAAAGATTTTGAAAGTTTGTAATGAGACAAATTGAACAATAATTTTTTTAAAAATAATTCTTATAAATTAATAAATAAAATGTAGTCAAAGTAGAGCACATGAATAGTGTAAAATTCAACATGTTGCAACCAAAAAAAGAACGGAGGATAGTATTTAAAATAGTATTCTATTCTAATTTATAACACACCCCAAAAAATACTAATATGCCTAATTTTCTATATTTAAGTATACCAATATAATTATAAATATAAATAATACAAATAAATATAACTAAATATATATACATACATATATGTACACATAAATAGGCCGACCTGTTAAGCTAAAAAGGCTTCAGAGTAGGGCTAGACATGGCCTATTTAGATAAACGGGCTTTTTGAAAAGCCCAAACCTAGTTTGATTATTAAACAGGCCAGGCTAGACCAGGCCTTAAACTGGCTAGGCCACAGGCCTCTGACAGACTGCCTGGCCTATTTCCACCCCTAAGTAGTGGAAACAGTGGGATTACCTTTGATGGCAAGGAGATACCGGTATGTGATATGTTCCGTTACTTGGGCTCCATAATTCAAAAGAACAGTGAACTAGATGGAGATGTATCCCATAGAATCAGAGCAAGGAGGACGAAATGGAAGAGTGCATCATGATTTCTAGATTATCGAGGTATACCGACTAGACTGAAGGGAAAATTTTATCAGACAATAATAAGGTATGCATCAATGTATGGCGTAGAGGGCTGGGCAGTGAAATAATATCACATTCAAAAGATGAGTGTGACAGAGATGCATATGTTGCGTTAAATGTGTGGACATGTCACAAAAGACCG